CCTACGTGCACATTATACTTTCATGAGCTAAAATGATCCCGGACAAACTGGCGCTCCTCGTCGGGCCCGTCCACACCAGGTCTGCTGCCTTTTTTTTTTTTTTTTTTTTTTTTTTTTTTTTTTTTCTCGTGGGGAACCTCACCAAACTGTTTCACCTGAAGATTCACCTGAAGAGGTGACCGTGCACATAAACATGACTGATCTGTGTACAGTAAAAGCAGCAATGGTTATGTGCAAGTCTGCAGCTTGCAGGGCTGCAGCTGAGCACAGCTTTGAGGCATTTCTATGATCTGATATTTTACAGACAAAACAATTACTCAAAGGTTCTTATTGAAGAACTAAATTACCTTTATTAATTAACTGTCCATCAGCGCACACGTGGTGCAGGACAAAACAGGAGTCTATCAGACTGTTGAAGGGCCTGTTCAGTAAAAACCACAGTGCATTATTGGACTGGGTTTGTTCTCCCTCCCTGTTACTGACCTCCACAGTGTCAGAGTACTGAAGGTTAGTGTGTGTATGAACCACCTGATCCCGCCCATCTGATCCCACCAACCCCGCCTCGCTCCTCCCCCTGCTCTGATGAGGAGGGCAGCCGTCACGCTGCTCAGTGTGGAAGACCTGTGACCGCTTTAAGTTGTGTTGTGATGCTGCAGTGATGGAAACGCTGTTTCAGTTGGTTGTGTTTGTGTTCCAGGGAGCCAGAGTTGTTGTCTCCCGCTCCTTCGCTGACTTCACACCCCAGGCGACCTTTGACATCAAGGTGGGCACAAACGAGAATCACTAATGGCAATCGCAGACTGAAGGAAGGGGATTTTTACCCCCATAAAGCTGCGATCAGTTAAACATCTTAGTCGATACCGAACGTAACATGAAGACGTCAGATCAAACTAATCCAATGATGATCCTCATTGGTGTGGAGTGTTTGTAGTTCTTTATAGTCTTTGAGTCTTTTTTTCATTTAACACGTTCATTCCACACTTGTTTGCTGTTTATTTCCTAAAACATTAATTTCACACTGGTACAACATTAAGGTGAATTTTCAGCACCTAAACAAACGGGTATCACTTCCCCCAGATTTGGGTAGCCGTGAATCAACTTTGAGTCATTACGAAAACCCCAAAAATGATCTTAAACCGGCCAAAATAACAAATGTCAGGGTTCATTTATCATTAATGTTGTGTTTGTTAATAACATTAAATTAATAATAAAATAAAAATCAATCCTGAAATGATAAAATTAAAATGACTTGTAAGAACACTAATGCATCAATTAAATGAAGAGAAAATGAGTAAAATTATAAACAAAGTAATACTTGATAAT